CATGTAAAGCGAGCACGACTCATAAGCAGGAAAAAGTGCAGCCCGGGGGCAAGGTGAGCCCTAATGCTGCCTGTGCCTCGCCTCCCTGCCATGAGGAACGGAAGTGCAAGCGCAGGTGGTTGAGTCAGCCTCCAAGCCCAGCCTGCGCCCCCCTCACATCCCTCTGCATCTGCAGGGGCACAGGCCATGCTGCCACCCCTCGCTCAGTGCCAGGGCTGATGCATCAGGAACGGGGGTGCTGTCCGCCCCTTGCTCGGTGCCAGGGATGATCTGTCAGGATCCCTTGTGCTCATCTGGTCCTCACGTCTTCATCACCAGCCTCCTGCTGGTAACGGGCTTGTTATTACCTTGGTATGTGTTGTGGGGCAGTGCTCAGTCCTCCGAGGGAGGGAATCGGCCCTTAGCCAATTCACATTCAACAGGACCGGGGAATGGGTTCTTGTTCCATGTCCTGGATCCCAAGAAGCCCTTGTCCTGGACCCTGTAATGCCCGGGGTCTTCCTGAGAAACGCTGGTGCCACTGGAGCACAGCCCGGCCCCCTCCAGTTTCTCTGCTTTGTAACTGCACTTGTGTTTAGCAGGTCTTCCAGGACTTAGACGCTGCTTGGTGTGAGCCAGGTTTTGTGTGGAAAGAGGACAGGTCCGAGTCGACAACCAACCAGCCCAGAACCATCTTTTATGCTTCCAGATTCTGTGGCCAAAAACTTACCCGTGGACATTGAGGGTGATGCATTTCTGCTCCAAGACGTCTGTGGACTCAGCTGGAGGGATGGAAAGGATGTGGAGCCTCTTCAGTCCTGGCCTGGCCTTGGACCTGCTGTGCAGCCTCTCAGTGGCACCAGGGCCCCCTTGTGTCACAGCAGTCTCGGGTTCGTGGCACTGCCTCAGGATGTCCCAGGCTTCATGATGTCCAGGCTCCCCTGGCATGGCGACCTCAGGTGGGTGGCACTGCTCTGACGGACGTCCCAGGCTTCATGATGGTAGGGCCTCCTTGTGCCATGGCGGCCTCAGGATGGTGGCACTGCCCCAGGGTGTCCTAGGCTCCAAGGCCAGTGTTCCATCCAGCGAAGGGAAGTTGTACTGTAAGGTCTAGTCTCGGAAGGTTCCTGGGGTCCTATCCTTCAGAGTGGTCCTACACTCACCACAAATCAAGCCGGGGAGGCCCTGCCAGAATTTGCAGCTGTGTTTCAGGTGGTTCCACAAGGCCTCTTTTATTTTGGCCTAGTCAGGTATATAATTCTTTTTCTCTTTGGTTTTATTGAGACAGGCAAAAAAAAACCTTTTTGTTGCCCAGGCAGTGGTGTGAGCACAGCTTACTACAGTCTCAACCTCCCAGGCTCAAGCGATCCTCCTGCCTCAGTCTCCTGAGTAGCCAGGACCCACAGGCACATGTCCCACATGTCCCCATGCCTGACTTAGTTTTGTATTTTTTTGTAGAGATGGAATTTTGCAATGTTGCCCAGGCTGGACTCGAACTCCTGGACTTAAGCAGTCCAGCTGCCTCAGCCTCCCAAAGTACTGAGATCACAGGCATGAGCCACCGTGCCTGGCCAAGTGTGTTTCTAATTTCAAAATTAAGAGGACCCCCAGCCAGTTAATTACGTCTCTTTTGGAGCATGCTGCTTATAGTACATCAGGAAAAATCCTCCAGAACTTGGAAAGGGGGCTGGACAGACACAGCCCTTTGAGGTTGTCTGATAAACCCCTGGGGTCTTTAACCATCTGGAGGGATGTACCATGTCAGACTCACTGTTGTCGACGGGCCGAAGCCCAGGTTTCATGAGGTTTTGTGTCGGCTTGTAGTACTTTCTCTGGCAGAGATGCGAGTGACTTCTGCTCACTGAGAGGCTCAACTCAGAGACTTCATGGCCTGAGGGACGGCAGGCTGTTTGAGCTGATCGAGCAATCTCGTGCTACCCTTATTTTCTGAAACGCCTATGAGTGACTTCTCACATGGTCTTTGAAGCGGCTTCATGCCCGCGCTCCTTGGTAATGATCGAATGCTTTTTTTGACCCCTCGTCCCCTTTCTTTGGGATGTTCCGGTCTCAGTTCTCATGTGTTCTGCTTCTACGGGAATTTCTGAAGCTGCTGAATGTAGAAAGCACTGAGGAGGCTGTGCTCCCACCCCTGTGAGTCTTCCAGGCATCATCCTCTCCCCTTGGCGAGGCGGCGTCCATGGCACACCGAGGAGGCTGTGCTCCTGTCCCCCGTGAGCTTTCCAGGCGTCCTCCTCTCCCCTCCAAGGGGGACAGGAGGAACGTTTCAAACCCTTCTTAAACTTGTTTTCATGTCTTTGTTTTAACAGATTTCTTTGTATCTTCTCCCTTATCCAGAAGTGAGTGTGAACGCTGAGTTATTCACGGGAGTCAAGAAACCACACGCAGCCCAAAGTGACATTTGTTTCCCTGAAATGATTTGTGTGTGTTCACCTTAAAATGCAACTCAGTAAAACAGGTGTGTTTTGAGAAATAACTTTAAATTACCCAGGTAAAAATGTGACAGTTAAATTTCATCGTCTGTGCGGGTGTCCACAGCCTCCTTCTGTGATTGCGTGTGAGTTTGTGACTTGTGGTTATTTTTGAAGAAAGAAAATCTGTTGCTGAGGACTTTAGAGGGTGTGCTGGGATTGTGTAGGGTGGACATCGGGGGCTTCAGTGTGTGGCTTCCTTGAAGAGGTTCAAATTAAGGCTGAGAGTCCCTACTCCAAAATGCTCCGAAACCTGAAACATTCCGAACTTCCTCATGACACTCGAAGGAAATGCTCTTCGGAGCACTTTGGATTTCAGGCTGGGGATGCTCAACTGGAAAGTGAAACATTGCAAGACCCTTCTGGCCCCGGGAGCTTGGATAAGGTCATGAAGGGGGCCTGTGCCGGGTGTCCCTGGAGTGTGAGGCAGCCTGGGCTCGCTGAACTGGTTTTTGTAGGAGCCACAGAAGGGAAAGAGCGTCAAAGTGGCCACGTCTGGCTCCTGAGAAGGCTGGACCAGAAGGAGGTGGGCACAGAGGGCAGCAGTTGTGTCCCCAGGGTCCTGGGCTCCTGTCCCTGGTGGAGTTGAGAGCCTCCTCTAGTTGTGGCCTCTCCCCTGTCAGCAGCCACTGAGGCCTGAAGGGAGAGGAGGGGGCTGAGGAGAGGAGGAAGGATAGGCCTGCTTCTGGAGAGGGCCAACATCGGCCTGTGCTAGCCTCGTTTGTTACTCCTGCGTCCAGGGTGCACGGCCGTGCCTCGTGGTGTAGCGGTTCCCGGAATGCACAGCGTTCTTGTCTGCAGTAACAGCTTTGTCTCCGACCCTTGGAGGCAAGTTACCTTTTTCCCCAGTGAAAAGAGGTAGAAAATATAGAAATGCATTTGCTCTAATGTCTATTTTCTGATAAGACATGGTCGCTTAGGCTAAATCTTTGGGAGGTCAAGGCAGGAGGATCACTTGAGGCCAAGAGGTTCAAGACCAGCCTGGACAACATAGCAAGACCCCATCTGTATAACAGAAAAATTAGCTGAGTGTGGTGGTGCGTGCCTGTGGTCCCTGCTACTCTGGAGGCTCAGGTGGGAAGATCACTTAAGGTTACAGTGAGCTGCGATTGCTCCACTATACTCCAATCTTGGTGACAGAGCCAAGACCCTGTCTCAGAAAGAAAAGTTAAAAAAAAAAAAAATCCAGAAATGTCATTATCTTTTTAAATCATCCGAAAAGAAAAATCGTTTTTTTCTAAGAATGTAAAGGGAAACTGATACGATTCTTTCCTTGCATTGTTTCTCCTTTTCAAATATTTACAGTAGTCCGTCCACATCGTCTCTCATCTCATTACAAAGCAGCAGGTGTCTTTGAGGTTAGTGGTGTTTCTCTGTGTCACACCTTGGAGAACAGCCAGCATGAAACCTCTTACCACAATCGTGCGCATCGTTTGTAGTCCCAATTAAAATCCTCTCCAGAGATGCCTGTGCTGCTTATTATAGCAGAACTTTGGTTGTGCTGAAACGTGCATTCAGCTAATGGTTTTAAGTTCATATCTGAGATGATGTTGTATAATTCATGAAGCATGTGGGATCAGTAATGATTGAAGATAATTCTGGCTGATGTCATTTAGAGGATATTTTTCACTTCAAGTTAAAGTTTCCTTCGCGATAGTCATTTTGGGATTCATTTAACTATGTGCTTTATTTCATAGCTCAAATTTTCATTTGTCATTTCATAACATAGGATTTTGAAAGCAGATTTGGCAAAATATTTCTAACAAAATGTTTGCTTATGACGTCCTAAGGAACAGCACTCAGAATTGCTGGTAACTGTGGTACATTTTAAGGCTGATGATAGAAGTCACTTGAACGGGAAGGGGTGCTTTGTGAGGCAGATGGGGTTTGAACCCGACCCTCCTGATACACCAGTCCTAACCCTGGCCTTCTCTCCTCTCCACTGGGAGATAAGAAGGTGCCAGCATCCACCTCACAGGCCGTCCTGAGAACCTGGGACTAAGGGCTTGTGTTCCTCTTGCAGGTGGTGCAGATGTGGGGGCTTGAGGATATACACACTGCAGGCTGCCAGTGTCGGGGTAATCCAGTTTTAGTCATAAAGGTGGGATTTGCTTTGCTCCCCTGCTGACCAGGTGCGGTGCCGCTGTTGTAGCAGGTGTGTGGATCCTCTTGGGTGGTCCTCAGGTGGAGAAGGAGTCACTGATTCGTATTCCCAGTGTTAGATGTGAGGGGACCATGGACCTCATGTGTTCAGAGGGGAGGAGTAAAAAGCTTCCCTTGTAATTCCAGGACTGTCTATCCCAGGAATGCCAAACCACTGGCTTTCACCTGACACTGTCGTAGGTGACACTGTACGGAAATGAGGACTCCTATTTCGCATACCTGAGCCAATACCCGTCTCCCTCCAGGGCCGTGGCCGAGCCCTCTTGATTTCTCTGGGTTGCCAGCCTTGGGGATCTGTAAGCCCAGTGACGTCTCTGGTCTCGGCCCCCGCTCCCCGTGGGGACAGGAGGTGGCTTCAGGAGGCTGGTGATGAATGCCTGAATGAAGCCGACTTGTGACTGCAGTTCTGTCTAAGGGCCTCCCCGGGTGTTAGATGTCAGTAAGTGACACCTGTGTGTGGATCTCATGTGCTGAGAGAAACAGTGGGGGAAACCAAAGCTTGTGGAGTCTGCAGGTTCTGGACTTGGGGGCGTGTGCACCTGTGTACTTGGTGAGGGGTGTGATGTCTGGAATGAGTGTGCACGTGTGTCACGTTTGTGCATGTGTGGTGAGTGTATTTAGCAGGTGTGGGTGGAGTGAGCATGTTCATGTGTGTCGTATGTATTTGAGGATGTGTGTGGAGTGTGTACATGCATCACATTTGGTGAGGGTATTTGAGGGTGTGTATGGAGTGCATACATGCGTTTGCGTGTATAGTATTGGGTGAAGGGGTGGCATGTGTGGAGTAAGCATGCACACGTGTGTGCTGTGTGTGGGGTTTCTACGTGGTCCTCCCCTGAGCCTGCTCCTGGGCCCTGCTGTCCTGGCAGTTTTACAGTTTGGTGTGTCTTTGATTCCGGAAGATTCTGGAACCAAATTCTGAAGCTGTGATCACAAACTTGCAGCCCTGGAGGACGCTGGCCCATGGAGCTGGCACGAGGATCTCTGTGCTGGCCTCTCCCTGGGCTCTGTCCACAGAAGAGCATGTCCGATGATTGAGCTGTGCGGGTCTGTGGCTCCCCAGCCTCCAGTCAGCCCTCGGTTCTGCCCCGCCTCTGTTTTTCTTGCTGAGGGGCTCCGGGAAGTGGTGCCTGGGATGGCATTTTCACCCTGGGGTTGCTTTTCCAGCTGCCCAGGTGCTGGCTGTCTGAAGCCTGCTGTCATCCTGGGTGGACGGGGCTGTCGCGGGGGCATTCCTGAGCACCTGCGGGAAGGCAGGGTTAGGAAGTGCCAGAGGTGAGTGGCTTCCTCCCACACTTGATTTTCTGGAAAGTTCTGGGTCTCATATTTTTCCCTAAGGGAAGTTAGAAACTGAGTTTCTCTTTAGGGGAACGTCCTTGCAGCGTCTGTTGTTTGAATGTTCTCCAGGTGTGGAATACTCGGGGCCGTGTGTGTTTGGGAACATCCGTGTCCTGAGTGAATTCAGTAGGGAATGGAGAGAGGCCTCCTGTCAGCTTGGCCTCTGTTTCCTGCTTGTTGAGAGTTGACAGCTGCTGGTATCCCAGGGAGAGTAAAACACTGGGCAGTGTGGGATGGAAACGTTTGCTCTGACAAGGTCAGTGGGAAAGCATCTAAACAAACGTCGCTGTTCTCCAGGCTTCTCCAGGCTTCTCGGGGTCGAGCTTGTTTTGTGGTGTTGAGGGAAAGCTACGCTTGTTCCTGTTCCTCACCATTTGAATGGTGTCCAGGGCTCGTTCCTCTGGAGAGGTGATGCACGTGAGTGGGGGTCAAGTCGCAGGCTCCGAGGTTATTTGGAATCTGTCAACTGGTTTCCTGAACACACAGGTGCTTGGTAAAGATATTCCTGATTAGCTAAAACATTTCAACAGGACTTGATAGCTGGTGGTTGTTTAAAGACTATCACAATTTTCCTGTTACTTTTTAAATGCCTGTTGAATCAGGGGGGATTCCCATACTTTTCTTTTCCTGTCTGCATACTTGATATTTTGTTTTTTGTTTTTTTATGTGGGTGTGCAGTTAACAGGATTTGGAAGCAGTCTCAGCCCTGGGGAGACTTCAGGGCCACCTCAGTCAGTGCTGAAGGGAGGCAGGGATTTGGGGGCTACCTCATCCATAGGACGAACACCAAGGGCCAGAGGTCAGCAATCTCAGTGAGGTCACAAAGACGGGCACACCCAGCACCCTGGCCCACGTGCCTCTCCTTCACGTTTGTCTCTGCTCAGACTGCTCTCCTGGGTCATCACGGGTGATCTCTAGGCGCGTGCTTGCTTCTTGCAGAAGTGGTGTCTGGCTGTGGTCAGTGTGGGCCCTCAGGACTTCCATGTTTTTGGCTCACATCAATATTAGGCAGTGGTGTATGTTTGTTTTGGAGTGGTAGATCGGGTGGATTTTGGCTTTACCAACTCATTTAATACCTGTTCTCCTAGGTATAATACCTGTTCGTAAGCCGCATGTTTTCCTAGGTGCTGGGGCCCTATCATAAGCCGCATGTTTTCCTAGATGCTGGGGCCCTATCATAAGCCGCGTGTTCTCCTAGGCGCTGGGACCCTATCATAAGCTGTGTGTTCTCCTAGGCGCTGGGACCCTATCGTAAACTGTATTTGAGGGATCTCGGAGGTGCTCCTTATGAGGATCCGATGCCTGACCTGAGGTGGAAGAGTTGCAATTCAAAACCAGCCCCCAGAAAAATTGTCTTCCATGAAACCCATCCCTGGTGCCAGAAAGGCTGGGGGACAGCTGGCCTAACGAGGGCTAAGATGTCAGTAGATTTTTGGACTCGGGCCTCAGTTGAAGAGGATTAGATTTTGAAAAGTGGGGATTGAAGGCTTCTAAAGGGCAGGTTTCATCTCCAGTGGGGCCTCGGCAGAAC